GTCTGTTTTATTGAAGGATTCAAACATACCCGTACACCCAATCGGTAACCTCTGTTTATTTTTGTTTTGTCGGGTGTCTGTTTTATTGAAGGATTTTCATCATGTAAGACAAGAGAGAGACAAAAGTCAAACAGCTAACTACACCTACAACAAAGAAAAAGAAGAACTGTTACAACAGAATGAAGAACTCAAGGTTAAACTTGATGCAAAGGTATATATGTGTGTATAAGTTAGTTACATGAAGAGTGTATTTCATAAACAATATCAATAATACTGCCTTAAAATGATGTTACACTGGACGATTTGCAGCCACGATTTTTCGTGATACGGCTCATCAATTTTTAATGTTTACGTTACACAAGTCAACTTTTCGCACACTATTCATTCGAAAATCATCATGGCCATAATCACCTTGGACAGGACGATTTTTAAACATTTTTAAAAGTAACAACATCGTCCTCAGTCCTCTGTCCAAGCCGCCACCTTTTTTGTTGACATGGCCTCACTTCTATGAGAGTATCAAACTGCATTTTGGGTATGTGTTTTGCAAAAAATCGTTGATGAACATGTTACACGAATCAAGTTGCAAAAAATTATGTTTTTGAAGCTGAATCGAAAATTTTTTTAAACACTTACAGTAGCTGGATCTTAAGATCGTTGTACACGGCATGTTACATGGCATCAATTTTCACGCACCAGGGTATCTTGAAAAATCGTTGTTGCTAATTGTGCATAACATCAGCTTTAGCCAATGGTCACTTGATTTCATAGGAAAATACATAGAAGTCGTTTACCGGTCAGGAGGTTAATTAAGGAAAAAATTACTAGAGGTCTTGAATATATGGGCCAAGGTGATTATGGCAAGGACAGAGTTTTCCCCTATGCGGACTGACTTTAGGACAGTTAATAACTTATAATTTTTTTTTTCCCCACTTTTTGTTGTTTATCAATCCATGTACACAAGCGTTGATAGCCCAAGCAGCCAGGATACCAGAGTTCTGCTGTCAGTTACATGTAGAAAATGCTACAGTACCTGCTTCAACAATCAATGAGAACACACAATCTTAAGGATACCGAACTGGAAAAAAATGTCAAATGAATCTCACCGTTGCATCTTCTTTCATGACAGGTTTCTGAATATAATGAATTTGAAAAGTCTTCAGAAGAGTTGAGTTTTAAGCTCAAACAAGCAGAACTCATTGTACAACAGGTATGATATTAATCTTATAGCTGTATGATATTAAATTCAATTGATTCTCCGTTGCTCGTCAGGGTATGGCCTTGATTTTGTGTAAGGTATGATATTTCATGAAGTTCCAGTGAAGGGCTGTTGAATTTCAAAGTATTTGTACTGTTGAAGTTGCACATTCTATACCTTATACTTATACTTATATACTTATATTTTACAACCACTACTCCCCATGCAGGGCTCTTCCGTGAGGTTTCCTCCACACGCACTACCACTACATTCTTTATTTACAACATACAACACTCAACTCACATGTTGCTTTTTACGGGGGGAGGAAACCGGAGATCCCGGAGAAAATGCTCGTGGCAAGGGAAAGAACAACACAACAAACAAACTCAACTCACGTATGATCCAGTCTGAGCCAGGGCTCGAACCCGGACCACAGTGGTAAGAGGCGAGCGGTAAACCACTACGCCACCCATGCCACCCATGCCACCTTACTGTTGGTATTGGCGAATATTTTAATGCCAAAATGCTGCTAACCCTGAGTAAATGAAGCTTTATTTTAGGCCACAGTGGTTTTGATCATAAGAAAAATGGTCTATTGTGATACTTATTAAAAATGAAAATAATAATAATAATATTGATATAAATTCTTTTTTCTTCTACCATGTCAGCTGTCAACCGATTCTAATGCTATTGCCACACAGTCCCTTGTTCAGCAACTACAACAAGAAAAAACAACATTAGAGATGAAATTAGAACAGGTACAGTGTACAACTAATATGGCAGTTTTCTTGTAATCATTGTGAAAGATGCATGTTTGGAATACCATTATGGTGCTGTATACATATTATTTTATGGTGCTGTATACTGTAGGTTTACGGTCATGACGCCCCCTTGCCATGACGCCCCCAGCCATGACGCCCCCACGTATACCATGACGCCCCCAGTCTGTACTACCATGACGCCCCCAGCGTAAACCATGACGCCCCTAGTCTCTATTAACACTTACTTAATGAGAAGTTTAACAATATTTCATAGTATAAATCCAAAAACAACAAAAAAATAACCAAAAGGAAAAAAGTTGACAACAAAATTTCGTAAGTCCAATAAATAATTCGTAATTTAAGTTAGTACGCCGTAGTTGCCGTAAGAACGCTAGTGATCTTTCGTATTATTGTTTCGCTTAAGCATAACTTCTGAAACCTTTCTCCAAAAAGTTTGACACTGAAAATATACCACAAAAGAAAGAGAGTGCTGGTGAATAAAGTAAGAAAAACATTGCGAAAGAATCAAAACCTTTGACACGACCATTAACTATGCACGAACGAATAACGAGTTGTTTTCGAACGAACGAGTTGTTTTCAGCAGTTGTAGTTCGCAGACTCGTAACCTAATAGTTCTTTGGCGTAGGAAGTTTTTGACTTATTCGTAATTTTGAAACATGTGTGTTTTTGCTAAATATTTTGGTAAATCAGCAAAGATTTCTTACGAAAATCGGGTAAATTGCCGTTTTCACTTTACAAGTCTTTTCACTGCTGGGTTTGTCGTCACAGCAACTCGTACGCGTCTAAAGTTTTTGACTCATTCGTAACGTTTCTTCTATTTTAATAGCCTCCTTATTCATATAAACTTTCTTGGAGGAGAAAATGTGTGTTTTTAATAAGTATTTCGGAAAGCAAGCAAAGATTGCTCACAATAAATCGGGTAGTTTGCCATATTCAAGTCATTACACTGTTGTTGTCACACAACTCCTCCGCGTTTGAAGTCTTCGCTTGGTGACGCGAAACACAAACCGCGTCTCAAAAACAATCATTACAGATAAATTTCAGAGTTCATATTAAAATGATATTCTAGWGCTACAAAATGGAAAATRAATCAAAAGAGCATACCGTATTATCATAGTTAACTATTTAACTATGATATTACTGTAATCTAAATGCAAACGTGATACGTTGACGTGACGCATCGCGTTTGTAATACACCCGGGAATACAGCGAGGTGTCACTTTCGATTGAGTTTATTCAACTTTCCGTTCATAATTTCAAAACCTTTTCTGTAAACAGATGCCTTAAAGAAATATTTTGGTTTTCCCAGCAATTGCTGAAATCACTTGAAAAAGCTATGGAAATAGACATATTTATCTATTTTGTGTAAATGACAAAATTAAAACACAAAGGTGCGTGTCTCAAAATCCTTACAAAAAAGTTTTAATGTTCTTTGCAAAATGATGTTCTAGAACTCCAAATGCACCGAAATGATGTTCTTTAAATATGAAGAATTTTTTATAGGTTTCTCGTGCTGATAAAAGGCATTCCGAAATGTTGATCACGGGCCGTGTTGAGAGTCCTTCGTAACAACAGCGTGACTTGATCGCACGAAATAAAAGTTTTGATCGATGAACATGTCTTAGAATTATGGTTGGATTCCTAATGCATCTGAATGATGTTCTTTAACTCCTAATTCAGCTATATCATGTTCTGGAACTAACTATTAATGACAAAATTCAAGAAGTACATCGCTTAACTACAGAGATTTAGTGTTCGCCAGCTTGTAGGTATCGTTTTTAACTCGTGGATACGCGAAGCGTAGAAACGAGTTATTTAAAACCGTAATGATCATGAAACAACTCCAATAGTTTTCGATTTACACGGGTTCGTATCGCCATATTATTATCGTTAAACTTCTTATTAAATAAGTGTTAATAGAGACTAGGGGCGTCATGGTTTACGCTGGGGGCGTCATGGTAGTACAGACAGGGGGCGTCATGGTAGACGTGGGGGCGTCATGGCTGGGGGCGTCATGACAAGGGGGCGTCATGACCGGTTACCATACTGTACACCCATGCATTATCGATTAAATAAGTATAGGAAATCGCAGGATCTCAAGTACAATATTTGGAATTTATAAAGTAGGTACAAGTGATGTTTGAGTGTTTTGAAAGTTCTCAAATTGGACTTGCCTAGTAAAGGCTTGTCCAATTTTGAAAACGTTCAAAACATCACGAGTATCTATAAATTCCGAATTGTACAAGAAGATTGTGCGATTTTTTGTTTATGATACACTCAACAAAATTGAGCAACTTACATGTACAGTAATTGGGACTCTACAGAGTACAATTTTGGATTTAATTGTACTTCTTTTGTCCTATCAGGATCAAGTAATTTTGTTGAGTGTATTATAAGCAATATAACAGGCTGTGATTGGTTCATTGTATAGACATATACTGTTATCATGGTGCTGTAATGTACTTCCATGCAGTATGATTGGATTAGCAACATAACTTGCTGTGATTGGTTCATTGGTCAATTTCATGCTGAGACAATGCTGCATGCCATATATAATATTAATTATTTGAATTTCTCTCTCAAAGATTTCAAAGTCCTTAAAAAGATATGAATTAGATAATGAAGAACTACGGCAAAGACACACAGATGAAGTTGATCACTTTGAGCAGCAAATACGATCCTTGAAGGAACAGGTACAGTGTAATGGTCAGAATATACTATTAATAGATAAAACCATAGAGTAATATAGTATTTTTAATTTATTTTTTGTCATATAATTATAATATTGTATTGTTTCTTGTAAAGCACATCAAGGATTTAGGATGCTCTATAATATAAATATTATTTTTTATTATTATTTCTCTCATGAAAATATACTCTACAATGCATTAATAGTTCAAGTGTTGTCAGGGGTTTCATTAAGGGTAGGTGATTGGAAAATGCTGTGACTGGTAAATGGGCAAAATTTTCCAGCTTAAACAACCATCAATACAGTAGCTCAGTAATTTAAAAATTGGTCCCCCTGGAATTTCCAGCTACTGTACTTCATGACCTTCTTCATTTCAAAATTTGATAAAAACCCTGATTTTCCATTACCAACCTTATTCTAGCCATGTAATGTTTTGAGAATAGGAAGCTTTTTTATCGTTATGGCATGTTAGGTATACATGCTGTAATTCAGTATCAGTTTTAGGGGAGAAAGTGTTCTGTATAAGTTGTAGCAAATATGTTTTTGAAGGCTATCATTGATTTTAAATGAATGCTTGTTAATTGCCCTTAACAAGCATTCATTTAAAAATGCAATTCTACAATCATTATAATATCCTTTATGGACCCTTTTCAAAATGGTTTTCTTGTTTCATAACATGCGCAATAATTTTGACAAGGGTCTATTGATACAGAGTAGGAGAAGAGAAAAACATTAAACATGATCGTGTAAAGAAAACTTTGTTTTGCTACACATACAGATTGATGCTTTAGAGCAAGAGAACAAAGACTTGGAGAACAAGGAACTGACATTGCAAGAAACTGTACACAGTTTACAGACACAATTAGGTGAGTGTGAGTACTGTAGCATGTTTAGATTCTGATAAGTATGGTTTGGTATGGTTAACTTTGAGATTCTAGAGGATTAGCTCAAATAAAAAACTTTAATTCAGTCCCAAAATATTCCTCTAGATATTGCATTTTTTATTGTGGTTCTTTGTCGATTGTCGGTCATTGAAAGAATTACAATGTACTACAGTCTGCAAACGAGTCACACTTCAATGATAACAGTAGTAAAAACAAGCTGTGACGTTATAGTGAAATATATTGTAGTCTCCTATGCAGCCTCTATTAATGGTTTTCACGGTGGCCATGTTGGAGGAACTTAACAAAAGAATTGTCAATGAATTCTTTTGTTATATCCTCCAACATGGCCACCGTGTCTTTTGTTTTTTAATTCTCTTGGGAATGGTTGAACACCATCAATTAGTGTCGTCATGCATAGCTCACTCCCCTAGTGAAATAAGACAATTTTCAATCATCTTATAAAAACCAATGGCTTTTCATACTTCTTCTAGCGAATACCCAAGATGAAGATGCTTTTCAAATCCAAGAAACCTCCTCCATGGCAGCAGCACATATTGAGAAGCTAACACAAGAAAAACAGCAGCTGATAGACCATCTACAAAATGAGGTCTGTCGCTAAAAGACCCAAAAAAATAGACCTTTCATTGGTCCAGGGCATTCAGAATGAGCAAGCGGTAACTGAAGTTCCGACAATAGACCTCCTCAGCTGGGGCGTAATGTTGTCCCATTTCAAACCACGTCATTCCCTAGAGTATTTTTTCTTTGTTTAATGGTTGCGCTCAGTTGCACATGAGAAAACACATGAATATGGATACAACTCCAACAAATAATCTTATTCACAAGGGAATGACACGTGGTGTACCCAAACCGAGGAGGTCAATTGTTTTGAAGTTAACTGCCAGTTACTTTTTCTTTTCTATAAAAGTGTACAGTACCTTCTGTTCCTTGTACCAAATCACAGCCAGCTACTTCAGACTCATGACCTTAAAAGGGCCCTTAGCTAATGAAAACCACTTTGTGATTTAGGCTTCCTCTTTAAAGATTAAATTTATTATTATTATTGTAAAAGATTCTGAAAGCCCTATGGACATTCACTTGAAGCTTTTGCTGTATATTTTTCTTTGTCTATCTTGTCCATCTATCCGTGTCTAATTACGTGTACATACTTAATATCATGAAATGCTAAGTCAAGCCCAAAAAGTGGGGTTGGGGTACGCTAGTGCTCCTCAGGTGATAAGAATAGATGGATGGTTGAATATGAGTGTTGAACCCTATGCCCTCGGTCTAGGGGTCACACTACCAATGTCTGTTACAGTAAAGGGCCATAAACAACAACATACATCTGAGTCCTTATATTTTCATTATGAAAACTGGCACAAGTAAATCCATGTCAGTTTATAGATTTTGATCTTTTTCTAAATTATCTATATTGTAGGTCCAAAAGAATGCCAAGCTTGCAAAGTAAGTTGTTAGAATCTATTTCAATTTTACTTTACCCTAAAAAAAACACATATTGTGAATTGCATGAGTTATCCAATAGTGGTGCGGCAAGGGGACAAAGGCCCCCCAAAAAACGTTTTTGCTTAATAAGCTGTGGATGTAGCGGGAACTAAAGATGAGACGCTAAAGCATGTGTTTTGTCAGGAAAATAGTACATTGCCCCCCCCCCCCCCCCCCTCCACCATGAGGGAGACCTCCTTACGCCCCTGTTAACCAAAATCGAACATACAAAAGCGAGAGGCAAGTCTTCTATACCTAGTGTCTCTACTCATGATCATGAACTATACAATTTAATTTCCATCACGATGGAGTGTGTTTTAGTGGATGTCAATCAAGGCGTATCCACGACATTC